AGGGCTGCATACGCCGAACTACGCTTCGCGGTTAAAGGCGTTTGACATTCATTGGCATGGGAAGCAGCGGTTCTTGTGCTAAACCACTACTGAAAAGACTACAAACGCTGTGCCGGTTAAAATAGAAGTGTCCCGTCAGGTTTTAAATCATAACTTTCTGTTTTGGCTATCTGTCCGGGTCCGTATGGGACAGCTTCTGGGTCCGGACCCCGACTGCGGTCCACCTGTTAGTGACCGCTGCTCTATTGGTATAATTAATCATTCTAGAAAGATTGAGCCCAAATATAATGGTAATGATTACTTAATTAGTACTAAGCAGTTCATGAGCATTAAACTAAGGAAGCTTATCGCATATAGGAGTTAACATGAGTGACAAAATAGCGCTGGGTTAAATGGTTGGATGAACTGAGGCTACAGGTTGCATTGAACTGCATGATCAAGGACAGCTGCTTGCTTATGTCCACAGAAACTGGGCTTCATCCATGTATACCAGATTTGTCTATTGAGTTAACAGGCTACACATCGCGGCGCTACGATAGGACTTCAGATTCTGGTAAAAGCAGAGGCCGGATTGTGTGTACATTAACAACAACTGATAGTGGACAGTCATTGCTCCCCTCAATTGGAGTACAAATGCAGACCCATCTACTTACCGCGGGAGTTTAATGTGGTAATGATCATCATGGTTTACATACCACCAGCTGCTAATGCTAACACGACTCTGAGACATTTATACAGCAGCATCGGCAGCCAACAGAGCCGGTATCCTGACGCAGTGTCCATTATCACAGGGGACTTTAATCATCTGGACTTAAAGGCAGTGCTCCCCAAACTCCACCAGCACGTGAAGTGTACCACTAGAGGAGCCAACACACTAGATAAAGTCTACTCAAAAATCCAGTTAGGATTCAGAGCTAAACAACTTCCACACCTGGCCCAATCTGACCACATGCCACTGCTTATGATTCCTGCATACACCCCTCTCCACAAATCTGCTCATACTATCATAAGATCTATCACAACCTGGCCTGATGATGTCTCTCTGCAGCTGCAGGACTGCTTTGACAGGACTAACTGGGAGATTTTTGAACATCCAGACCTGGAACTCTGTACTGACAATAGGTCTACGGAGGACGCTGTTGTTGTTGCTCTCCATGCTACCTTATCCCATCTGGAGCTCCAGGGGAACTATGCATGTCTCCAATTTATTGATTTTAGCTCTGCTTTTAACACCATCCTCACTCACAGATTGGTGTGTAAGCTGTTAGCCCTTGGACTTCCATATTCTACCTGTCTATGGATTAAAGACTTCCTGACAGAACGCACACAGAGGGTTAGGGTGGGCTCCCACATCTCCTCGGCCATCAGCAACAGTACCAGTACTCCTCAAAGTACTGGTTGTTTACTACATGTGACAACAATCTTCTGTATTCTTCATATGTCTGGACTATGGGGTTGGGTTGTAAGGCAGTGGCCTTTTTTTTTTTTTTTTTTTTTTTTTTAACAAAGAAAAACATCCATGTCCGGCTAAATTTTGCAAAAAAACATCTAGTCTCCCAAAATCATGTGGGATTAAAATGTGTTATGGTTGAACTTTTTGGCCACAATTCCAAAAGGTATGTTTGGCATAAAAACAGCACTGCACATCACAAAAAGAGCACCATCACCACAATGAAGCACAGTGGTGGCAGCATCATGCTTTCGGGTTGTTTTCCTTCAGCTAGAGCTGGGGCTTTGGTGAAGATGGAGAGAATTATGAACAGTTCCAAATACCAGTTAATTTTGGCCCAAAACCCTCAGGTGTCTGCTACAAAGCTGCAGATGAAGAGGAATTACACATTTTGGCATGACAATGACCCCAAGCATACATCCAAATCAACAAAAGAATGGCTTCACCAGAAGAAAATTAAAGTTTTGAAATGACCCAGCCAGAGCCCAGACCTAATTCCAGTTGAAAATCTGTGGGTTGACTTGAAGAGGGTTGTGCACAGGAGATGCCCTCACAATCTGACAGATTTGGAGCGCTTTTGCAAGGGAGAGTATAGGCAAATATTGCTACTGTAAGTCAAGATGTGGCATGCTGATAGACTCCTACCCTAAAAGACTGAATTAAATCTTCAACAAAGTATCAGTTTAAGGGGATGCACACTTATGCAACTAGCTTATTGTTCATTTTTTATTTTTTACCCCTAATAGATTTTTACAGGCTATAGGTCTCACTAAAGGTGGAAAAAGTTTTGAAATGATTTATCGTGGTCTCATTTTTTACATCATAAAAACCTGGCATTTTAGCAGTATACTTTTTATATTCACTGTAAAATGCATTCTCAATCATGATCACATTTTTAGGTAGTATCCACAATCTTGATATTTTTAAGGCAATAATCCATAATGCAAATTCAGATATTAACCCAACCCTCTACAACCCAACTTTCTACATTTAGAATTACTTTTCAGTGTCAATATTTGCGTTGCTTTGACACCTTGTTCTGCACCCTGCCCCCAGTGTCCTCTTTTTTGCAAAACTAAAATTCCATTATAATCTATTACCTATCATTTTAGTTCTAGTGATAGTAAGACATACCAAAATTTAAATTTTTAATCATTAATGTACATAACAGGCATATACACTACCAGGCAAAAAAACGTCACCGCCTAGATTTAACGAAGCAAATAGGTAAGATCCTTCCATTGGATACGTACTGCAGTGATTAATATGTTTCCCAGATGAGCTTCCTGTATCACCCGTGATGACATTTTATGATTTTTGGAGACTTATTTCAGCATCTTGGGGTCTGCTCTTGGGCTGAACTTGCTAGGACAGCCTGCCCTGGCCATACTGGCAGTTGTTTTAAATGTTCTCCACTTGTAACTTATTCTCCGGACAGTGGAATGGCTGATTCCAAACTGTCTTGAGATCTTTTTATATTCTTCCCAGACTCATTTGCATCTACAAGCTTCTTTCTGAAGGCTTCAGAGAGCTCTTTGGATCTCACCATGGTGATACCACTCACTTCAACAATCAAAAGCAAACCAAGCTAAATGTCTGTGGTTTAAGTAAGACAGGCTCCACCAAAAAGCTCTGTAACGATGTTCTAATCATTTTCACCTGATATGGTACACCAGAATCTAATTCTAGGAATTTTAAATAGTGATGAATTCCTCAGTGGAAATGAGCAACTTAGGGTGTTTTCACACTTGGTCCGTTTCATCCTTTAAAGTAAACTCAGATCGAGTAATCAGCATTTTTTGTGTATATGTGAACACGCCAAACAAACTCAGACCCCTTTGAAACGAACCAAACTGAGACCACAGTCTCAGTCCGGTTTGCTTTTAGTCCGCATTACAGTTCGTTTAACTTGTGCATTGTGAACACAAAGCAGTCCTGGCTTGCTTCGACAGTTTTTACCCTTTAGCTTTGCCGTAGGCAGATCTCGTGGTACAATCCCAGGAAACAAGCAAAAATAATGGCTGAAAGTGTGGGACACGTGTTTTCGTGTTCAGAAGTAATTGTTCTATTTTGTTTTTTCCTGTGTCTGTGGGCTATTTTCAAGACCCACCATATGATGACAAGTATTGCAGCAGCCATCTTGTTTGAAGTGAAAACTACTCAGAATCCAAAGCAGTAAAGGTCTGAGAGCTCCATTAGACCTTGAAGTATGAACAAAAAAAGGACTGAGGTCCCATCTGAGCTGAGTTTCCTTTCTGGTTGGGACCATTTCTAGAGGTCTGAGTTTGGTTCCTTTAGAGAGGACTATATGTGAAAACAGCTTTAGTTAATTTCTTTCATAAATTCAAAAATTCACCCCGGTCCTGCCTCATTGCCTGAGGTGGGGGCTGGGACCAGGTTTCATTGGCGAGTCACCTTGGCCTTGGATTACATGATTGATTGGTTGCATTGATTTTTTTTTACTGTGGTGGCAAAGAATTTGACATGAAAGGCCACCACAGAGAAACAGTACCAGCAGAAATATTTCAGTAATTGTTACTTTTTAAAAATATCATTACATGTATCAACGTGGAAATATACTTGTTTCCGTTGTGAACATAACATTTAATTTCAAACATAAACTGTTTAAGCACAGCTTAGAAAGTAATAGACGTCTATTTAGGAATTCAGCAATGATTTAACCCATATTATCACATTACCATTATCATTGTTTAGTTGTTACTTTCATTACTATATCATCATTTATTTTCAGCTGTTAGTGTTAAGTGCTCAGAGCAGAATATAAAAACACACTCACAGCTTCACATATACAGAAATCTGTACAATGATACCCACTCTACATCCTATTGAAGATGCAGTCTGTCTACATCAGTGAACATGCAAGACTTACGCTTTGTTTTACACATCCTTCGTCAACTGTAGAATACACTGTTGCCTCATTCCTGCTGGTCTCTGTGGCTGCAAAATACATCATAGAAAATTGCTCATCAACTGATCTTAAAACATTATTTCATTTTGTTAATTTCTGTAACCGCATTCTCCAGTTTCCACCAAAATCTCATTATCACCTTAATCAGTATAAAAGTTTTGAAACCCAGTGTTAATATGCATCTTTGAATTCAAGTTACAAATGAAAAAAGTGAATTGAAATATGTATGTTCTAAAATATTTGTCATTGTTCATCAAATTTAGATTAACCACTGGGCCTCTGTCTGTACTTTTAAGCAGGAGGTTTTGTGTTCTCAATCAAAAGGCAATTTTACAGATAGCTAATCACAATTTATAATTCGTAATTGAGATTGAAGTGCAGCACTTCCAGCGAATACAATTCAAAGAATTCTAACAGACAATTTATTGTTTACAAACATTACTAGATGTGCAAGCATCCAAGGGGCAAAACTGCTTTGGTAGCTGGGCACAATATTACAGTCAACCGTTGCAATCAATTTAGATTTCACATCATGTAGATTCTTGTTAACTAGATAATAAAATGTCATTTCGGAATTGGATCTGTTAGTTTGTCTTTCATTTGCATATTCATATAAGTAGTATCACTACTTATATGAATTAGTATCACTAAACTGACTAAACCAAAGTAAAAATGTTCACAAAAAAGCTACTTTATGACCTCTAAATTGACAGCTACTGAAAACTACTATGTGCAAAACATGACAGCTAGATGGGTCTGTGACAGTGAGGAAATGACTGGCAGTCTGCACTGGAAACCTGAGTAGCTCAGTATGTCAGTAAATTAGTTCTCAGTTACAAGTGAGAAATCACCAGATCTCTATCCTATTCCTCAACATGAATGGGTTTTAGATTTGTCCAAGTGACCAGTAATCATCACGCATATAATATGATCTGTTCATAATATTAAACACTTTCCAACCATCTTTTCTGAGGTCTGTGCAGTTTATTGCACAACAACTCTTTGTCATTTCTGCATTATACTTTCATTATCCTTTGAAGAGTGCTCCTTTCTGCCCCCTAGTTTTGTGTGCATCGCTGTGATAACGTTGCACAGAAACCTGTCTATAGCCAAATAGATGTTTTCTGAAGATGAAATAGCCTGAGAACTATCACCCCTAATTCCTTCAAAGGAAAGATGTCCACTTGTCCCACTGCTATTATTCTTAGGGTCACACTTTGAGGGAACATTATTAGTGTAGTACTACATGGTTATTTAATGCATTAATTAACCAGTAATTAAGTGTTAGTTACATATTTATCCCATGCTGTCGTTTAGTTAGTCAATTTACAGTAAATGTTTTTATACATTTCTCAAAACAAGTCCTTAAATGTCTGATTACTGCAACAGTCTGAAAACATCAAGTCCATTAAGAAAACCAATATATTTTCACATTTTTAAAAATTGCTTATTGTGATGGAAGTGACGCTTGTTAAGAATCATGATCAGTTACTTGAAACTTGAAATTATGTATAATTAAATTATGGTAATGATACAGAGGTTTCGGAAATGAGGTTGATGGTTTCAGGACAATCATTGTACCATCGTTAGTTAATCACTCAGTTTTGATGTTCAGATATATTAAAATTAAACTAAATAAAAGCTTAATTGGTCTTGTCAAGTATTACAAGTTAGATTTAGATGTTACAAGGGGATCTGCATCATGAGCAATGAGGGTATTAGACTAATTAGATATGCAATTAGACTAATTGACATCTTTACATGTCCTCTAATGCAGTTAAGTTGAAGATTAATTGAAGAGTCTGTCCTGATTTTAATATATCTAGATATGGATTTATTACTTTTCCAATGAAAAAAAAACATATCACAGACCTTGATTTCTTCTTCTACAGCAGTGCACAACCAAAAACATGACACCCAGGAAAACTGCTGCTGATAAACCAATGTAGAGGTACAGCTTCCAGTCTGCAAATATATAATGGGCAAACAATGGCTGCATTACTAGTGGTGCAAATCTAGACTTTTGGAGTATAACAATGATCATTATCTATATGTTAAGTTAATATATGCAGCTTATATTGTGATATGAATGCCAGGCAGAGAGCAGCTTGAGGCTCATTTGAGGACCATTTGGCTTATTTGGACAAAATTCAAATCTGGTTATTCATTACATTTCAATTCCAATGAAACAGGATGACTTTCTGCTCGACCTGGCTTTTCTTTTGAATAAAAATAAAACAGAGTTTACATACGGGAGTAGAAGAATTTCAATTTAAAAGACTCAGAGTTCAGCTCAGAGGGATTTCACATTGTGATATCTGCATGTAATGCTAGCCTTAGATATACAATAGTCATAATTCACTACAGTGGCAACTTCTTTTAAATTGTATGATCCTGCAGGACAGGCAAAATGTGTGCATTTCTTTTACCTGTAGAGCTGCATCTTATGTTCACATCCGTGGACATCTGACTGACAGCATTAACAGCAGTGCATGTAATGGAGATGTCACCTTCTTCGGGTGAGAAAAAGAAGTAAATCTCCTTGCTGTTCTCAGTTTGTCCCCCTTTTTTCCAAGAAAAGGATGGTTCTGGATTTCCTGATGAGTTGCACACCAGATGAACCATACAAGTGTGGTTCCCTTGAAGCCAGATGACCTTTGATTGGATGTGCACACCTGTTATGATCTCTGGAAAATATAAAGACAGAGCCAGAAAGTTGAATTTCTATATAAATTATAAAAATAGATTTAAAATGATCATATTTTAATTACTCAAAATAAAGGAATAAGGGCAATGTGTGGCTAGAGCTTGGTGTGTAGCTCAGTGGGTGAGTTCTCTGCGCTTGTGGTTGCTCGTTCAAATCCCATCCTCAGTGGAAAAGTTACATGTCCATTGGGCCTTTCACTAAGGGCCTTAACCCCACCCAATGCTATAAAAGATCCTAAACTATACCTGTAATAACGTTGTTTTTCCCCTAAATAATTCAATATTCTGTATACCATCCATTCATTTTCCTCTGATATTATCAGAAAATATAAAATCAATAAATCAGTATCAAAAAAGGAAGTCAGTTGTACATCAGAGGTAAATTATTTTGAATTCTTCCATCCATATGTCCTTCCCTTCATTTTTCATTTCTTCTTGCCCAGTACAGAGTCTGGGTACAGCTTTTTCGAGTATTTTTTCAACCAACGTGGCTGACTTAATTGTTCTGAGCATAAAAGTTAAAGGACATTGTGACCAAGAGACCAGACAGGGAATATTTTTTTGATTTTACTGGTTGCAGGAAATGGACAGGGATGGGTTCAGCACAGCTCATTCAAGGGGATTACAAAAAATGAGTCTATTCAAGTAAGTAAGTATTTTTTGTCATTTATAAAGCATATTAAAACAACCAGAGTTGTTTTGGTAGTACCAGGCATCATACCGGCCGAAATGAGACGAAGCAACATGGTTCTGAACAAGATGTCGCTTTTATTATAACCCTTAAAAGGACCCCACATAAATAACAACCACACTCCGACACACACTACCCACTGTGTTGCATGGTTCCAAATGTGTAAGTTGCTAATGTGATTAAGTTGCTAATGTCTAAGTTGCTAATGTAATTAGCAACTAAATGTTTTTAGTGCAAAAGTTAATATTTAACGTAAAATGTAATTTTCAGCAAACGTGATCCATTCTATTTTAAGCTATTTTTCAACATGTATTTTGAGAAACATAAGTTAAATAAAACAATTGCTTTGTACTGTAGTCTCATAATTGCAAAAAAAGTCTCATAAAGCTAGTGGAAAATGCTAAAAAAACACGGTAACAAGAGTTACCAACAGTTTGCATGTTTTTTTTTTCTTTTAAATACAAATTTTAGTGGTGATCAAATTTAGAAAACAAGTGACATTTTGTAATTTACAGTGTTACTGCTTATCCCAATTCACAATTATCCATGAATTGATGAAATGTATTTGTATCATATTTCCTTACTGAAAACTTAAATGTTGAAGCTCCTCATCAGTGCAAACAGAACTGACTTATGTTCATGTTTTTTATAGTTATTTCAGACACTGCAGTACCACACTTTCAGACTCATGCTATGCAAGAAATCTTATGGCAAACGCATATTATTCCATTATAAACCTAAAATTAGTAACATCAAAAGCATGAAAATCCCTACAGACTATTTACAAGGTAATGAGGGATTTCCCTAGTTAATTTGTACTTATTTAATTATGTATATTTAGTTCACTAATCTATAGCTTTTATATTTCTTTCTGGCCTTGCTACTTGCTTCCTTACATCTTGTTCTTTACATACCTCATACAACTTACTCTCACAAAAGCCATTTGATCCCCTGGCTTCAGGAGTCTGTATGAAGACCATAGATAAAGGGGTACTGGCGCAGGTTGTGGTTGCTGACTCTAACTTTTTAAATGATTTATCACAGAAATATGCCATTTTAGCAGGAGTGTGTACACTTTTTATATCCACTGTATTTATCTGCAGGAACAAAAGAAGGTTCCAGAGTCTCCTACAAGAGTTGAAATCCTGAATGACCCAGAAGACCAGTTGTACCTGAGGGT